TTAAACTTTTGTTTCCAAATCATGTATCCAGATGGAGCTAGAGGCCTATGGTCATTAACTACAGATTATCGTTATATAGAATGTAACATTAGAACCAGAATTTTGTAGTCTTGACTTTTAAGACTGTACATAAAAAAGGAAGTTAATGTAGTCATTTGTAAAATATCTGAAGTAAATAGATTCTTGAGATATGTACTCCTTCCCCAAATAGTTTATAGTTTAGTAAGGGTGATCGTGCATGTAAACAGTAAATTCAGATCATGAACAAGTGACAGGATATTTTTGTTGGACAGTCCTGATTTAACTAAGACGTGCTTGTGGTTAAATGAATGTGATCAATTTTTTGAATTTTTACAGTAATTTTTTTTTGACCTATGATTTGCACATCTTATTGATAGTAATTCTAACTCAGTAAATGTTATCACTGTTTTCCCCTTCTAAAGATATGAATGGATTTAATTAGTAATGTACAACTTTTCATAAAGGTGGTAAATTGCTATCTCAAAACCAGTTGCAGGTTGGTTTTATATTTAGACTTATATAACTGGTTATGTGGATATATTTAAATACTAGGGAAATCCTTCACTGTCTTAAACTCACTGGTGTTTTAATTTGTGTTCATTAGCCTGTTAAAAGTGAGGGCTGGAGATAAGGTAGCAATGTTTACTTTATATTTTTGATCTTCATTATGCTAATCTAATTCTTTGTGTCTACTAAAATGCTGCCTTTTATTTATTGAAAGGCATTTTGGTGTGGTTTATGTGTAATATCAAATAAAGAATGTTTAACACTGCTCACATTTTAGAGACAATCTATAAGATTAAATGCTTGTAAAAGTCAATATGAGAAGCAATAGCAAATTAAACTTTTGAATTCTTTACTACCTAAGTCAAACTAAGTTATAATTTAGGATTGTCTTTAAACAGCTCTTCAAAAACACGTAAAACTGTAGGACTGCTGTATGTGTGTGATTGGTAATGGTGCTTTTACCAACTCATTAGAATGATTAAAGTAGAGGAGATATACACAAATTTAAAAATTATATGTGATCATAATTAAAACAAAATCACAGATCATGGAAAAAATTGTGGATGGTGGTAATGGTTGTACAATAATGTAAATGTACTTAACGCCACTGAATTGTATGCTTAAAAGTGATTAAAATGGTAAATTTTATGTTATGTATACTTTACCACAATAAAGAAAATAATCGAACACTTGAGAAATACTATTACTTGGCTTTCCAGATAATCATTGTAAGACTTCTTGTAGAGATGTGTCAAGAGCTTCATGCTTGGCCGGGTGCGGGGACTCACGCCTATAATCCTAGCTCTCTGGGAGGCCGAGGCGGGCAGATTGTTTGAGCTCAGGAGTTCAAACCAGCCTGAGCAAGAGCGTCTGAGACCCCGTCTCTACTAAAAATAGAAAGAAATTAATTGGACAACTAAAAAAATATATAGAAAAAATTAGCCGGGCATGGTGGCTCATGCCTGTAGTCCCAGCCACTCGGGAGGCTGACGCAGGAGGATCGCTTGAGCCCAGGAGTTTGAGGTTGTTGTGAGTGAGGATGACGCCACGGCACTCTAGCCTGGGCAACACAGTGAGACTCTGTCTCAAAAAAAAAAAAAAAGAACTTCATGCTTGTGGCACCTTTTATTTGTAGTCTTGTGGACTACACGTGACACCTGCCATTTCACCCATCAATGGTGATCAGCTACAAAGGTTATTCTGGGATGAATTAAACTACAGAATTGATGTGTACTAGGTGTCACAAAGGGGCATTTATTGAGCATTGTAGGACTGTGTAAGTAACTATGATCTTTTCTCAACAAATTGGTTTTAACTTCGTGTTCACATATAGCCTATTTACTGAGGAGTGGATTTTGAAAACATTCCATTCTTTTTAAATTACGTTTTAGTCATGCCTCCTTAGTTAGGATCATTTTCATTATCAGGTCAAATAAATAGAGCATGAGATCAATTGTTTGAAATAAAACCTCAGGAAGGAACCAAGCAGGGTTTTATATACTTACATATACATATATCAAGGTGAATTATTTCCTGTCTCTAATTAAGGGAGTTTTACTGTATCTTTGAAACCCAGTTTCTTGAAATCTTTGGGAATTGGTACGTGTTAGGTCTCACTTTGAAAAGGTGAATTTATTGAAATCTTTAAAGTATTTTTTAACATTCTTTTTTCTTTATGTTATCAAGACTGATAATTTACATACTGTGAAATTCACCTCATTTAAATGTACAGTTTAGTGTCTTCTAGCAAATTTACAGAATGGTGCAACCATCACTATAATGTGAGTTTAGAACATTTTTTATTTCCCCCCAAAAGTTCTCTCATACCCATTTACAGTCATTCTGGTAAGTACCCCCTAGCCAACCACTAATCTACAGACTTCCTTTTCTAGATATTTCATATAAATGGAATAATACAAGATGTGATCTTTTGTGTCTGGCTTCTTTTACTTAGCATAATGTTTTTGAGGTTCATTCACGTTGTGCATATATCAATAGTTTGTTCCTTTTTATTGCTGACTAGTATTCATTGTGTGGATGTACCACATTTTGTTTATCCATTCACTAGTTGTGGACATTTGGATTGTTTTACTTTTTGATTATGATGAAAAATTCTATGAACATTCGCATAAAAGGTTTTGGGTGAATGTATTTTTATTTCTCTCAAGTAGGTATCTAGGAGGGGAAGTGCTAAGCTATGTGGTAAATTTATATTGAGCTTTTAAGAAACTGCTGTACACTGTCAGAGTGACTATATTTTACATTTTCACCAACAGTGTATGAGGATTTCAGTTTCTCCACATCCTCCCAAGAATTGTTATTGTCTACCTTTTTTATTACAGCCATTCAGTGGGTAAAGTGGTATGTTGCTGTAATTTTTTAAAATATTAATTA